AAAATCTCAGTCACCAAGCACATGTACCAATCTCGTTCATAATCCTCAGACTTATTTACAATTAAAAATCTGTTATTTATAAATCACCACACAAAAAAATAAAAATTTGAAAAAAAACCCGCGAAACACAAAATAATTATTTGGCACTGTCACGAGCAAACACTGGCTCTGAAGATGAAGAAGAAGAAATAAATAAATAAAAAAAACAAGCTGACTAAAGAGTGTTTTAGGAGTAGATGGTCACTAGAGATAGAACAGATAGAATATATAATGTATATCTAAGTATATAAATTAAAATACGGACATGACCGACCGTCTGGTGGGCCACCGCGGACAGTTTAACCGTCAGTGAGAGTCTTAAAGACGTTCACCATCTTTACCTGTAAAGACGCATGCGCCAACCATTTCTTCTCCTTCTATTTGGTTTCTTCGCGCCTTTCCTCCACCACCTCCACCTCCACAATCATCACCATCACCATCGGCATCACCACCACACTCTTCTCGATTAAATACCTGCAATAGCAATACAATACAATAGGATATAATACAATACTAGTACAAAGAAGAATATGAAGAAATGCAAGACTTACTTGTATTACCAATACCAGCAACAGTTGGCAGATCTGTTGGCGAACGTAAGGCGCTATCACTATGACTATGTCTTGGACTACGACTACGTCTTGGACGTCGACGACTTGTGACGTCAGAAATAGGACAAGGCGCTGGTGGCCTTTGGCCAAGCTGAGTGAGAGGGAGAGGGCCAGTGAACTGTTGTCTTGTTGCGGCGTTTAAACGCTGTATTTTCATTTCATTTGCTTTTTATTATTTAGCTTTACCTTTATGTTTGGTATCTTGGTATATCCGTATACCATACCATGCTGTGCCATTCCATATATACCAAACCCATAGCATGCTTACTTGGTTACTGAATCCAGCTAGTCTCACTTTATTTTCTCGTTATATGTTATGTTTGGCCATACCAATGTACCGGGATACGATAAAAGCCGGATACTACCGGCTTTTATACTTCTTTATATCCGTCTTTACATTTACTAGTACTTGCTTGTTTGTTACTTATTATATTACGTACTTTTTACTTATTTTTATTACCCTTCTTTATTTGTCCAACTTCTATTGACTATTACTACTGATCTACGCTGATTATTTTCCTGTTTATAATACCTCATTTTTCAATGAAAATTAAGTTAGCCGACGATTTTTATTTTTTAATAATTAAATTACAATGAAAAAATATTTTTAAAAAATTGCACTTACAGTTTTTTACAAATGACAATTTTTTTTTGTAGTCATTTTTTCAATAAAAATATTTTATTTTTTTTAATCATTTTTTCAATAAAAAATAATTACAAAAATTTTTAAACGTCGGCTAACTTAATTTTCATCATTTTTCAAGGGTACCTCTTTTACATTCACCAAAATACCTTTTAGATATTTCTTCTTTATTTTTTATATTAATCTGAAATAAAAACAAGTATAAAATTTTTTAATTAAAGATATTTATTAGTATTACTCACATTAATGCAAATTACTATTTCTTCTTTGATATGATATTGAAGTCAGCAGACATTAGATAATTTTTTTTTATTCTTATTCAATTTCTAAATGTGAAATTTTTTTATTAAAATTTTTTCATAATAATTTAAAATAATAATAAACTTAGCCAACATTTTAGATTTTTTTATTTTGCTCAATTTATTAAATTATAACTAAAAAATATTTAGTTAAAAAATTGCACTTGTAGTTTTTGAAGTTATTAACAAATGAAAAAAATTTATTTGTAATTTTATTTTTAATAAAAAAATTATTAGATGCCGGCTAACTTTATTTTCATTAATTTAAATGATATTAAAATTAACCGAGGTCCAAAAATTTTTTTCATTTTTTTTTTATTAATTAAATTAGAACTAAAAAAATATTTTTACAAAATTGCACGTATAATTTTCAAAACCTTCTATATTATGTGAAATTTTTTCAATTAATTCTTTTTTCAATAAAAAAAATTCTAAAAATTTTTAAATGTCGGCTAATTGTCATATAACTTAATTATTAAAATCCAAAAAATTGACTTCAATATTCTTCTTTAATATTTTTAACTTCATGAATTATAATGCGGCCATTTCTTCAAATATGGCTGCTTGTTTTTTAATTTTTAGACAATTGACAACAATGTGTTTGTTAGCTTCATAACCTATAAACAATAATTTTTATATAAAAAAATAAAAAATAAATATTTTTAAAAGTTTTAATTAAATAAATTAATGAAATAAAATATGCTTTAATTTTTTTTAATATTAATTAATAATTAATAATAGAAAATCAATTTTCTACTGACAAATTTTACTAAAAACTTCTTGAGTTATTTTTAGTTTCAGAGAAAAATTGTTTTGGGGCTTATATTATTTGTTATACAATACAAAGCAATGGTCCATTGAATCTGAGTGTGAGAACGAGAATCGATACCTATATATTCCTAAAACTGATTTTTAAAAAGATTTATGAGTGAAGGCCGAGCAAATAAGGTCAATCTAAAAAATTCACTTTCATTCTAAATATGAGAAAACTTTTACCTTTTTGTTATAGAGCTATCTAGTATCCAGTTGATGAATATCATTAAAAAAAAAAATACTCTATTATTAGCAACGTTCAGAATTTGAGCAACTGTTCTAAATTCAACCTAAAAATTAAGAAATAATTAATAGTTTTTAAGATAAAAAACAGATGACACTTTAGCTGCTGTCTAACTTAATTGTTTCCAATTGTTTAAAGACTAAACAAGTAATAAAAGTTTTAATGTCTTACATTAAGACTAAATACCTTCATCAGCATAGTTCGCTACTAAAGAAGCGATAATTTAACAAAACAGGTCATTTTTCGTAATAAAACGACATACGACTTGTGAAAGAAATTTTTTGGAACTGTTTTGGCTAGTTATAAATAATTAACTGTGAAAATTTTAGACCAGCTAACCTTGAGTACTCTGTAATCTAAAAAAAAAAAAAAAAACTTTTTGGTCGACAAAACGGATGTGAAAAAATCATTTAATTATGAGAAAAAATCTTTTTTATCACGGACGTTAATTTCTAAACTTTTGTTAAATTTTACAAAGATTTTATTATGACATTAAAATGATCAAGATAAAAGACGTAATTACTCTTTTAATTTACTGGCTTTAAGATAAGTCAATTAGTGAATTATTCACTATAAATATTTTAATAATAAAGATTTTTTATAATACTAAAGTTAGCCGACCTTTTTAATAATTTTACATATGAAATTTTTTTTTATTATATTGTAATAATTTTTTCAATAAAAAAAATTTTTAAATAGCTAACTTAATTTTTATAGATTTTTTTTTTAACATAATTGCCTGTTTTACCTAAACTGCATTTGTAAAAATTATGATGAAAATTAATTTAGCAGATATCTAATAATTTTAAGAATTTTTTTCATAAATAAATTACTGCATAAAAAAATTGACATTTAGAAAATTTAATAAATTGAAAATGCAATTTTTTTAAAATAATTTTTCGGAACAAATTTTTTTGTTAAATAAAATTAAAAAATGGTTAATTTTTAAGATTTTTTTAACAATTAAATTATAATGAAAAAAATAAAAAAAAAAAATTTCACTTGTAGAAGTTTAAAAAAATTATAAATGCGAATTTTTAAAAATAATTTTTTTATACACTGAAAAAAAAAAAATTAACTTGATTCAAGAGAAAAATTCTTGAACCAAGAATAAAATTTTGAAGAGGGTAATTGTATTGAATCAAGACGAAAAATTCTTGAGTCAAGTAAAATTTTCTTAAATCAAGAATTTTTCTACTCAAGTCAAGAACATCAAGTTCTTCAAAATTATATACTTGATTCAAGAACATTTTTTTTCTGTGTAATCATTGATTTGTTATGAAAACTTGAAAAATTTTCAGATATCTGTTAATTTCAGTGTCATAAATTAGGTCACGTCTACAATTGATAGTGCGAAAAAAATGGGCCTGTGAGTGAGTATGTATTAACAAAATTTGTGGGAATCCGGTGACCTATATATATCCTAGAGAATAATTATATATAGATTGGCAACATTCCAGTAATCCACACATTTGAAGCTTTAAGTATGAGTAGAGCTTTCGTATTAGTTAGCTTCTATATATTATTATTAGTAGATGTATAACGTGTGATATGTAATGTGTGCAATGGTCTGTAGTGTCTGAGATGCTGATGCGAGCTGGTAAGCTGTTGCCCGTAATAGCAACCCCCGTCAGTTAAACCACGCTTAACTTAGTTGATGGCGGGACACGCGGAATCACTCTTACATTATTGTCTTCTATTATATTGTGGATTATTATCATTATTATCACACTGCATATTTTGCTACATTTAGATTTTGCAATCCGCTTTTAAAAATTTTGCAACAAAAAAAATCACTTGTGTAAAAAAGATAGCAAGTATTTAAAAATGAATTAGTCTTACTTGCTTGAAATTTGTTTTTTGTATCTTCTTAATATTAAATTATTCTTCTTTTAAGTATTATCATATTCTTCTTTGAATTTGTTTATGTTGTACACTGAAGCGACACTGTAAAAAAATTAATGTGAGATTATAAATTGAATTCAGTATAAATAAAGTGATTAAGATACTTTTAACAAGATTTTTTTTTTTATTGTGACTTTAAGTGATTTCAAATTATGTTGGTGCGTTTATGAAAGTTACGTAATCGATTTAATTTAATCTCGTTTATTTTGAATTTAATGGTTGGATTAGTGGTCAAAAATACGCGCTTATAAATTATAATTATGTATGAAGAAACAAAATTACTCGCTGAAGAATATAAAAATTCTAAGATTTAAAATGTAATAAATATTATTGAGTGATTTTTATTTATTTATTATAAAAATAATTTAGTAGATAGTAAATATATTAATAATGCTGGTGAATAAATTTATTAAAAAAAAAAACATCCGGTTGATTGATAAATTGTTATGAAAATATTTCGACGAGTTAATTTAGCTTATGCGCGTGTTCAGAATGTCTCTCTGATAGATCTAAAGATAGACTTTGTTTTAACAAGGTGCGTCATAGAAAATAGAAAAGCCTGGGTTTAAGTCCTAAATCAATGGAGAGTTTTTTTTATACTTACTGCTATTATTAAATATATTATTATTATTATTAGTAATAATAGTTGTGATTGTTACCGCCGTTGTTCAATGATAATTTGAGAACTCGACAAAATGCATCACACATTTGGGAGCGTGAAAGGAGACTCTTTGTGTCCACTTGGTTTTCATCCACATGTACGATGGCCAACACGCTGCAAAAGATGCCTCAGGTAATTATTTAATGATAATAAATTTAGCGGATATTTAATAATTTTTTTCAACTAATAAATTATGACCAAAAAAAAATATAACAAAAATTTACATGTAGAAATTTTAAAAAATTAAAAATGCAATTTTTTAAAAATAATTTTTGGAACAAATTTTTTTGTTAAAAGAAATTAAAAAATTTTCTAGTGGCTGCTAATTTTAATGTCATAATTATTTATGAAAATAAAATTAGCAGATGAAAATTAAGTTAGCTGACATCTGAAAATTTTTAGAATTTATTTTTATTGAAAAAATTATTAAAAAAAAAAAATTCATTTGTTAAAAACTTAAAAAACTGTAAATGCAATTTTAAAAAAAAAATTTTTTTAATAATTTTTAATTATTAAAAAAATTGTTTATTATTTTTAATTATTATTGAAAAAAAAAACAATTAAAAACGTCGGCTAACTTTAGTATTATAATTAGCAGACAGTTGACAATTTTTTTTATTAATAAAATAATTACAAAAAAATTAAAAGAAAAAATTACACATGTTAAAATTTTGAAAAACTACACGTGCAATTTTTTAACAATATTTTTTTATTGCTAATTCAATTAATAAAAATCTTTTGCTGTCGGCTAATTTTAATTTCATAATTATTTTATTAATAAATTATAATTGGTGATTATTTTTCGTTTCTTAAAATAAGTTATTAAGATTAATGTCTTGAAAGTATTTTTTTTTAAATTAATGTCATGGTGATTGATGTTGAAATGATTTTTTTTAATGGGAAATTAATATTTAATAGAATTTAAATGCTTGAAGATAAGAAATAATTTTTTTTGTGAAGATTAAAAAAATTTTAAGAAAAAAAAAGATGATTTTTTGTTCAAGCAGGTCAATTGAGTAATTAGATTATTATTATAATATATTATTAAAGATTGATAAATTACTGCTAATTAAAAAAACGTATTTACTTTAATAGAAAAATTACGAAATAAAATCATTAAAAAATTTTCAAGTGTTTATTTGTAAAGATACACTTTTTCTAAGTTATCTAAGCTGATAAAAATATTTCAATGATTTTTATGTAACTCGTATAATTTAAAAGTAAATGAAAAAATATACTTCAATCTTTGATAATAAAAATTTATAGTAAAGATATATATTTACTTAATTTTCTTGTTTACCTTTTACAAAGAAGAGATTAAAGAACTTTATAAATAATGAGAATTATTGTTATTGTTATTATCAAAAGAATTAGTCATATATGAATGTTAGGAAAATCGCTTTTATAATCATGAGAACTGTTCTATAATAACAAGACTCACTTTTACTTGCTGTATATAGTGAGTTCTTTTATAATATACTGCCCAAATACTTCAAATATTTTTTCATTTTTTATTTAACAAAAAAGGAATTCCGCTGTAATAATATCTTCTTCATAATCTATTTATAAAAAAGAAAGTAATTAGAAAAAATTTAATAATAAAAATTAGCAACCTAGTCATTATGCGACTTCCGAGATTTACAAATTATGAATAAGAAAATTTTTACTTTAATTTACTTATATTTTTAATTACACTGTATATAGTTAGGGTACTTTTTAAATAAATTTTAAAAATAATAGTGCTATCATATCAATTATAAATAATTAACTCTTTCAAAAACAACATGAAAAATTGACTACCAAAAAAATATATAAAACTAAAAGGCACTAATTTTTATCAAGACCTTTCTGATGATACCAAATTTAACTATAAAAATTCCTTTAAAAATAACAATATGCTCGTCACAAAATTTTCCTTACCCTCTCAACTATTTAAATCATAAATAACTATCGCTAAAAAAATATCAAACCCGATTTATGATAAAGATATACCCGTTAAAAATTTTTCTCAATCCCTTAATTATACAAATTAATTTTTGACAAATTACCACATTTATTTGTACAAAACAAAATAAAAAAACAAACAAATTTTGTTTATCTGGAAATTCGAATCTATTTATAACTACTTCAAAAACTCATCATAATAAAAAAACTATTTTAGAAAAGCATGTAAAACATAAAAAAGATACAAATACATGTCAAGAATTTTCCAATGATACTAAATTTAATTTAAAAAACTCATTTGACATATAAATACGCCGGAGACAAATTTTTCTTAATTCTCTTTATAATATAGATTATTTTTTTTTTGAAAAGTTTATTTTTTTTTGTCACAAACAAAAATTATGTAGTCATAATATTGATGTCAAATTTTTGGTAATGAAAAAAAATATTTTTTTAGAATTATAAAAATAGTTGTTTTTAACAAAATGACATCTTGTTGACAGTCACTAAAAAGTTTTTCATAACTTCTATTTTGTTAATTGTCTTCATATACTATAAAACTATTCTTATCTTCACAGTAGCTCAATTATCTTAATAATTTCTTTAATAAAGAAACATTTCTTCCCATACTAAATAAATTAGGTACTTGTCTTGATACATTGTAATTATAAATTAGACAACTCAGGTGTTTAGATAAATAATAACACGGTATTAAATTATTATCTTATTGTAGTGTTTTGTCACATTTATTATGACTTTATCAAGTACGTAGTAATAAACATTAAAGGTGAAAAAGGTAGTAATAAACACCTAAGGTTTCTTCACTACTTAGCAAAGTCATAATAAATTTATCATTTATCCAAATACCTGTGACTTTTTCTAATTATATGATTGTTTTCATAGCTTAGAACAAAAAAAAAACCCCATGAATGGAAAATTAAGTGCTATAATAATTCTAGGGACTACAAAGACCACTCAGGAAAAAGAACAAGTTTAAAAACAGACACAACATCATCAACACCAAGTTTGTCACGCTGGGAACCATCCTCAAATAGATCTAGTGAAAGTCCCGAGTCTAGAAGGACTTGGGCATCGACATCGAATCTAGTGAAGGATGAGAACCTGTCAAAGCCATCCAGCACAACATCATCAGTGTCTGCAGAATGGAATTCAGCGATGGATCTCCCTAGTCTGGTCGAGTCTTCGAATTCCACCTGGGAATCTGATAAGCCGTCATCAAGGCCCAAAAGCTTCACCTCGCCCAAGGTTGATAGTTACACATTCAGGAGGCACTCTATCGATGAAACGGCGCTGCAGAATGATCGCCAGCCAGCAAAGCTCCAGATCAAGCAGGTCATTGATAAGACTTGTAATAATTCTGAAAACGATGTTGAATTTATTATTCAGGTGTGTCTCGTTAGTATATTAATTACTTGCTGTTTGGGTTTCCAGTAGAAGTAGATCCAATAGAAGTAGGTCCTTGATTGTATTTAATAGTTGATTATATTTTTTTTTTTTTAATGATGCTGAATGAAAATTAAATTTGCTGAAATCTAAAAATTTTAGTAATTTTTTTTTAGTGAAAAAATTATTATAAAAAAATAAAAAAAAAATTCATTTGTAAAAAACTTGAAAAATTATAAGTGCAATTTTTTAAAAATTCAAAAAAATAACAACAAAAAATTTAAAATGTTGGCTAACTTTGGTATTATAATTAAATGAGCCGACATCTGAAAATTTTAATAATTTTTTCTATTGAAAAAATTATTATAAACAAATAAAAAAAAAATTTTATTTGTGAAAAACTTAAAAAACTATAAGCGCAATTTTTAAAAATTAAAAAAAAAAAAATTAAAAATGTCAGCTAACTAGTATTATAATTAAATTAGCCGACATCTGAAAATTTCAATAATTTTTTTTTATTGAAAAAATTATTGCTAAAAAATTAAAAGAAAAAATTGCACTTGTAGAAAATTATGAAAAATTGTACCTGGAATTTTTTAAAAGTATTTTTTTACTTGTAATTTAATTGTTGAAAAAAAATTAAAAATTGTTAAACAGTATCATTGATGCTAAAGTTAGCTGACAACTGTTAATTTTTTTAATTTTTATAAAAAATCAATTGTAATAAAAAACAATGATTCAAAATATTTCCTCTAATCATTCTTTTTAATTTTTACATTTGGAGTTTTTTTTTATTAAATTTTTTTCATAATAATTTAATTCCTATAAAATTATACAAAAAATTTCTAATAGTTAACTTCAGTGTCTTAAAACTGATACTGAATTCAATATTTTACAGTTTTTTTAATTTTTATAATAATTAAATTATTATGAAAAAAAATTACAAATGCAAATTTTTAAAAAATATTTTTTTTTGTAATAAAAATACCTACAAGAAAATTTATGTATACTATATAATATTATATTATATATGCGCAACTTAAAACTCGAGAGTTGAAGCGAAGAATATAAAGCAAAAAAATGCTTTAAAAAATTTCCACTAATATTTTTTTTTAATTTTCACATGTTGAATTTTTTTTATTAAATAATTTTCATAATAATTTTATTGTCAAAAAATTTCTAATGCCAGTCAACTTAATTTTTTTATTTATTATTGTTATGACTATGATAAATGGTTATGATTAATGATTTGTGAGTTGTGAGGAAATAGTATATGATTCAATTTAAAATTTTCAATAATATAATAATGAGTATTGTGTTGATATCTAGGTGAGAAAAGCGGACTATAAAAAAGACGTAGAGAAAAAAAAAGATAATAATAATCGTGAAATAAATGAATTGGAAAGTCTTAAGGCTCAGCTGAGTGATATGAAGGCGCGCTGCGAGAGGGTTGAAAGGGAAAAAAGCGAAATACTTTTACGAAGACTCGCAACTATGGATTCAGTATCTGCTAAAACGCCTAAGAGTAGTGAAATGTCGAGGCTGCAAAAATCACTTAAAGAATTGCAATCCAAGAACGAAGGTTTGAAATAGCTTATAAATTAAATATTTAATGTTTATTGAATTGTTAATAATGATGATAGTTTAAGAATGGAAGAAGACAAGCCGTAAGGGAATTAAATGATGAAAAATATTTAAAAATAATAAATTATCCTTTAATATTTAATGTTTTTTTTTTTTTTTTTTGTGTAGCCTTGAACGAGGAAAAGATGACTCTCCTTGCACGGTTGAAAAATCTTGAAAAAGATACTGACTCGAAAGGCGGGAAGAGCGAGCGAGAAAAGGCCGTTGAGGAGCTCAAGTCGAAGCTCAAGGCCGCAGAAACTCTTTGCGAGTCTCTTATGGATGAGAATGAGGACATGAAGAAAGAAATACGGGAATTGGAAGAGGAAATTTATGAGATGCAGGATAACTTTAGGTTATTTTTATACTTTTAGTTGTTTAAGTAATTTTATTAATATTATTATTTATTGCCTGCGGTAAATCATTTTAAGTAATTACTTTCATTTTTTAACTTTAAGCCACTGCTATTAAATATTGCAGAGAGGAGCAAGCTGATGAGTACACCGGATTGAGGAAGGATGTCGAACAGGCGAACAAAAACTGCCGAATTCTTTCCTTTAAATTACGAAAGATGGAACGAAAGACTGAACAGTTAGAGTCTGAAAAAAGTGAATTAGAAAACAAACACGAAGAGGTATAACTTATTATTTTTTTTTTCATTTAATTCATTATTTTTACCTTACTACCGTCACTAATTAGTCACTGATATTAACCTTCTGAGTTTCATTTCAGATAAAAAAAGTTGAAGAAGTCTTAAAAAAACTGGGAACTGAGTTTAAAACTCGTGGTTCCAAATTCAATGACCATCCATCTAAAGTACAGTTAAGAAAGATGTTAGAGGATGTAGAAAAAGAACTCGGTAATTTATCTGTAATTAGTATTAAAAACATAAATTTATTTCTTCATTTCTTCAGGTGAGGTATACACTGTTTTTGGGGACATTATTAATCTTTGTATTGATTCGCCCGCCGCTAGAGGGCAAGACAGTTCGCTTAAGTTTGACAAACTTGCCAAAGAAAACGAATTGCTTCAGCAGAAATTGGACAATGTGATGCGCGATTTGGCAAAAGAAAAAGAATCCAATAAATCGGATATCAAAGGGGACCCGCAAAATTGTAAGTTTTCTTTTTTTAGTTTATAAAAGCTCAAAAAAACTGCAAAAAAAAATTTTTTTTAATGTGATACACTCCTTTGTTATATCCTCAATCAGACTTTGGAAAGAACTACCTATTGAGATAATAAATAAATAAGTTTTATTTGTATCCCAAATCTTGTGTTTTACAAAGTTACAAAATTATTTTTTCATACATTTTTTATAAAAAATAATTAATAATTTACTCTCTATTTTCTAAATCATTCTCTTATCCTAAAAATTTTTTTAAATCAAGAATGTTTCTACTCAAACTAAGAATATTGAGCTCTTCAAAATTATATACTTGATTTAAGAACATTTTTTTTCTGTGTACTAACTTCAAATATACATTCTGAACCTAGACTATCAATTTTACTTGTTATATAAAAACTAATATTAATATTTTTACCATTTAAGGATTGCAAAATGAGCTGATTTATTTGATTTATAAGAATTATATAATTTACATTGTTAATATTCTGATTTATATTTTGAGCTATTCTTTAAAATATTCATATTTTAATTTTGAATCTATTTTTGTATTAAATAAGAGTTAGTGCCCGTTATTATAAATTCACTTATAACTTTTTCTTTTATTCTACTTGTTAAAATTACACGTATTAGATAAATTAAATACTAAACCTCTTACATGTACTTTAAATAAACCACCATTGTATATGTTTGCAATTTGTCCAATGCCTTGGCATCAAAATAATTTAAATAAATAAATAAACTTCTAACAAATTTTTGAGCTCGGAGAGCTCAAAATAATAATAAAATTATATTTTTGAGCTCGAAGAGCTCAAAAATGTAATTAATACAGTTTTGAGCGCTTTCCTAATTTTTTTAATGGAATTTGATGTATTTTTAGTGAAAAAAAAATTAAATGATGCTACAGCCGCCAGAGAGTCAGATCGCAAAATTTGGGAATCAGAAAAATCAAAATTACAAGAAGAAAAAGAGAAATTAAAGTCAAAATTACTATCACTGTCTGCTGAAAAGCTTAAGGTTTATAATGAAGTTTTACAGTTGAAAAAGGATTTAGAAACAGCAACGTCATCGGAGAAAAATAACGCTAAGATGGAAGTAACTGTAAATGAATTAAGAAAAGAATTAAATGCCGAGAGAGAACGATGTAAGAAGTTACAAGACGATTTAACAATGTCCACTGAAAAAGAAAGTAGAATGTTAAAGAATGCTGCCAAAGTAATTTATTATTATTACTATTTTGAATATATAATCAAATCAGTATTAAAAAAATTATTCAAATTTTTTTTTTTTAGTATTATTTAAGAGTTTTTTTTTTATTGACCTTTAAATTTTGTTTTTTATTTTTAATTCAGTTGGAGCAATCAAAGTCATTAGTAGAAAGTGAATTAAAGAAATTGAAAACGGAATTTGAGAGCATTAAGTCATCAACTTCGATGAAAGTGGCCAAAGCGACCGCTGAATTAGCGGAAGTTAAAAAAGAAAGAGATAAATTGAAGGCTCAGATTGAAGAAGATAGACTGGCCAAAGATACAGAACTTATCAATTTGAAGAAAAAATTGGCAACTTTAGAGAAAGCGGGAGCTAGTGCCAAAAAAATGGCGGATCTTAAGCAAACTTACACTGAAAAAATTACAAGTTTGTTAAATTTTTGGTTTTTTATTTTTTTAAATTTGCTGTATTTAATTTAATTTAATTATTTGCTTTTCGGCTTCTAGTCTTAGAAGAAGAGATAAAAAAAGGTCAGGAGTTGTTTGACGGTCTGCATACAAAACATGCAGCTTTGCAGGATTCTAAAAGACAGTTGGAGAATCAAGTTGAGATTTTAAATAGGTAAAATAAATTATTATAAATTATATTGTAGGCAAGTTCAGTAAACTTTAATATTTTTTTTGATAAAATTAAAAGAAAAATTGAATTTTTATTTTTATTAATAGTCATATAGGAGATTATAAAAATCAATTAGAAAATACGGAAGAACGTGTTCGATATCTTGAAGAAGCTAATCGGCTTAAAGAAATTACTTGGAAAAAAGAAAAATCACGATTGGAGGTACGCAATTAAGTATATATTGTAGTATAAAAAATAATATTTATGGATTGGTTTGATAGCCAATTAATTTAGAAATGATAAATAATTGTAATTGTTTGAATGGGATTTAAGGAAATGCTGAAAGAACGTGAGAGATCGTCGACGGTTAATGGACAATTAGAAGAATCTAAGGAAGAAATTAGTCGTATTGTTAAAGAAAATGAATCATTGAGAATTCAATTAGAGGATATGAGAAAAATGGTTTGCATTTATATTTATAGTTATACATTGATAGAAGGATTTATTTACTATTAATAATTTTATTTATTTGAAGACAATTATTTAATTTATTAATAGTCAATTTATTAAGACAAGTATTTAGGCTGCATTCGAAAATGCTTTATCTCTAGATGCATAATTAAGAAATGACCTTGTATCTTGTGAACTATTTACATTTTTAAAGATATAAGCTCATCCTGACATTACACTCATCAAGACCTTTCATTTGAGTACCCACATCAATTTTTCATATATTTTATATATTTATATATATGTATATATGAAAAATATATCAAAAATTCAAGTATGTACTCAAATGAAAGCTCTTGACGAGTGTAACATCAGGATGAGCTTATATCGTTAAAAATATCAATAATTAAGAAATGACCTTGTATTCTTGTGAACAACTGACATTTTTAAAGATATAAGCTCATCCCGATGTTACACTCATCGAGACCTTTCATTTGAGTACCCACATTAATTTTCATATATTTATATATATATGTATATATAAAAAATATATCAAAAATGCAAGTGGGTACTCAAATGAAAGCTCGTGATAAGTGTAACATCGAGATGAGCTTATATCTTTAAAAACGTCAATAGTTAAGAAAGTACAGTGCAATTTAACAAAAGTCATTATTTAATAAAGCAAAATTTTATTTATTTTGTAAAATACCAAATTCTATCACAGCTTATAATTATGTTTTTTATTTTTAAATATTATAAACCTTTATTTAGTGAATTGAATTACTGCCATGTATTCTAGTTATAGGGTTATAAGTTATAAGAAATGTAAAAAAAAATTGCTTCTTTTGCCTTTTAGTTTAAATAAATCGTATTTAATAAATAATTTATTAACTGTTAATAAATATCTATTAAATCTTATTATGTGAAAAAAATCATTTATTTGCAGTTAATAAAGCTTATTAAATATAAACAAATCCTTCTATCAGTATAATAATAAAAACAATGAGTTTTATTAATAGGCTGATGAAGTAATAAAATAAAAGTATAATATAATAAAATATAATTTCAGAACGATGACTTGACAAGTAAATTAAACGATTACAATGCTGTGAATAAGTTCCAACGAAATTTATCAGCCGACACTTCGGCGTTGGACAACGAGTTACGAAAGACCAAGAGTTTGCTCGCCGACGCGGAGAAGGCGAGAAAGACGGATCTTGCTCAGTGTAAAATGCGTTATGAGCAGAGAATAAAGGCAATAAATGATGAAATACAGTCAATTCAAAATCAATTGTCGCGTTATAAACGCGAGAGAGACACTTATAAGCATATGATGGAGGGCGCCCAGAAGACTATTGCCGAGCTCAAGGCGACTCGTCAACGAAGACCCTCAACTACATCAACTGGAAAATCAGATGAGGTCACTTCCCTCTGTGTCATTCTCTATTTATTGTTTAGCCTTTTATTTATAAATAAATGTTTAATTATCGCATTTCAAGTTTTATTATTTATGATCGACAGGACGAAGAGTCAACCGGTACAAACGTTTCTACACTGGAGCAGCAGATCAGTATGATGGAAGATGAGCTATCAGAAAGTAAATTGGAAGCTTCTAAACTCAAGACTGAATTAGTGTCTGAACGATCCGGCTGGCAGATTAAATTGTCTGAAATGCAGTCAAGAATAAATGAGGTAGTGTTATTACTTATTCTTCATCTTGTTAGAATTATTTATCATTTTTCCTGGCTTTATATGTATGGAAATATATAATGCAATATACTTTTGAGTAGGAGAGATTTAAGTATTGACATAAATATTACATCACAGCGTTGAAAAAAAAAATCTGTTATAAAAAATTAGTAATGTATAAAAACAATTTCAAGTTTTTGTCCATATTAATTAATTACTGAAATGAATGAATCAAAAAAAAATTTTTTTTTTTAGTTTTTTGCTGTGTCTTACTATTACAGCATTTCTTCCTTTTTTTTTTAGTAGATTTCATAGAAATCTAACTATTGGTCCTTATGATGGAACTTTTAAAAAATTTTTATATATTTACCAGAAAAAAAAAATTAACTTGAATTAAGAAAAAAATTCTTGAACCAAGAAAATACGCTGATAGAAGGATTTGCTTATAGTTAAAAATAATTGTAATATTTAACAAATCATTTATTAGAGACCACTTTTTAATCCTTAACAAATATTTCTTAGTATCTAAAAAGATTTATTAATATTAAATAAATGAATATCAGATTTATTAAATACAAATAAATCATTTTAAATACTAAGAAATAATTTTTTCAATACAAGTAAATTCTTCTATCAGTCTAATTTTGGAGAGTTTCATTGTCTTGAATTAAGATTAAAAATTCTTAAATCAAATAAAATTTACTTAAGGGAGAAAATAGCCCATTTTCCCTCCGGGAAAAATGGCTTATTTTCAACAATTTTTTTTTTAATAAAAAAAATGAAATATTTTATTCAAAATTTTTACTGTCTTAGAGATACATGTTTAATTACATGAAAAAAAAATATGTGCTTTAGTTAAGACTTCAAACTAGGTCTTGAACGAAGGAAAAAAAAATTAAAATTGGATTTTTGGCAGAGGTTTTTACAGATTAGTAAAAATTTGGCTAAAATTTTGCGGCATTATTTTTTTAAATAGTTGTAATTGAAAAAAAAAAAAAATTCTTCTTTCTAGACCTTGTAAATTATATCTCAAAGACCTGTCTAAAATTTCATCAAGATTGGTTGAGTAGTTTTCGAGAAATTTTGGGTACCGTCTTTGAAAATATAGTTTTGAGAAAAACGCGTTTAAAGTTCTGAGTCGCAATACAACAGCGCTTTGGGCACTTTTTAAGACTGTATCTCCAAAACTATTATTCAGATCGATTTGAAACTGTAGGACAATACTCTAGAGATATTGTAGAATTTAATAAGACAAAAAAAATCGATTTTTTGAAACCATGAAACCCATGTAACCCCCTTTATTAGTTTAAGAATTTTTCTATTCAAATTAAGAAGATGAAGTTCTTCAAAATTATTTACTTGATTTAAGTAAATTTTTTTTTCTGTGTACGATTCGCAACGGATCTTTACGAAATTTAGTATATTTATTCTCCTGATAAATACAAAGTTCAAGTTCAAATATATGAGCTTAATCGGTCATGTAGTTTTAAAATTACAAGATTTAAAAATTGCGACACTGTATTGAATTTCTGTAAAATGTACCTGAAAGCTTTAATTTTCATATTTTGTTTTAAATATCAAATAAAAATTACATTAAAATCTATCTTTTTATAAAATTTTCTGTTGCATTAGTTTTTTTTTCTCAAAATTACTGAAAATTTTAAACTTCTAATGAATTCAACGCCTTTAAACTTATTACTTTTATTGAAGTATAAAATTTACTTTCATTTTGGCTGATTTTTTTTTAAAGATGTATATCATGAAAATAAAAAAAAAAAATATCTGAAGCGTGTTATAAAATACTTAATCTTTATTGTAAAAAGTATTACGTATTACTTGGATACTTTAATATGACAAAAGAAAAAATAAAAAAAATATATTGAATTACAGCTGGAGGAGGAGCGGATTTTAGCAAGCGGTCGAACTAAAATTCCAGGTTTAAAGGCACGTATTGAGCTTGCCTGGCAGAAAGAAAGAGAAGAACAGCAGAGGCTATTACAAGAGACCGCAACGCTTGCTAGGGATTTACGCCAGACATTGTACGAGGTAAGTAACAAGTAACGTGTACTGAGGTTTGTTAAAACAACAAAAAGAACAGTAAAAACAAAAGCAACAGTAATAACTACGGTAACAACTACAACAGGAGTAATAATAAAAGTATAAATAGTTGTACTATCTTATTCTTATTGAACTTTTTATTTCTTCTATTTCATTTATTTATTTTATTGTATTGTGTATTAAGATTGCGGTTATATGTCTGTATGTGGGCGTGCATTTATCAACTCGTCTCTCGTTAAAGGTCGAGCGGGAGCGTGACAAGGAGCGTCTGGAGAACAAGCGTCGCCAGGACCAGATGAAGAAGATATTCGATGAGGAGAAGGAGGAGAATAAGAAGAAATTGATCGAAGTTAGTTTGTTTATTCGTTAGTTAGTTAGTTATGTTTGTTATTATTATTATTATTATTATTTTTATTGGTTATCAAGTATCATCAATCAATTGATTTAAAGCTTACAGAGTTGTAATTATTGTGTCAGTTTTAACGTTTATTTACTACTATAGTTGCAATGTGACCTTCTGGAGTTGAGAGATGCCCACGCGAAGCTGAGGACAAGTAACGAGAAAATGAGACGCGAAAAGGAGAGACACGAGAAAGAAAGAGAGGAATTTAAGGACTTGATTATGAGCAAAAGACGTATGGAGCAAATAGAGGCCAGAAATATTAATATTTTGCTGAGCCAGGTTGATGATTTGATGAAGTTATTCCCGGAGTTAAGTAACAAGGTTGATTCTTCCGGTAAAACTCCGGATAATTATACTCCGACGCCTCCGAGAAGAACCAAGGGACCAAAGTCACGTGAATCTTCGCCTATGCTAGAGTCTAGGGAAGATATAAAAGGTTTTTTTATATTTATTTTATTATACTAGCTATTTGCGGTTACTATGCGACTAAGGAGAAAATTTTGGCTTGATTTTTTAGGTTTTTAATTTCACTACACGTAATTTGGGTATTTTTAAATAAATTTTAAAAATAATAGTACTATCACAGGATCAATTAGAAATAATTTAAGGGACAAATGTGAAGGAACAAATTTATAGAACCAAAAAACTATTAAAAACTCCTCCAAAAATTTGACAAAAAATTGAATACTCAAAAATATATAATCAAAAGGCGCACTAATTTTTATCAAGACTTTTTTGATTATTCCAAATTTAACTATAAAAATTCCTTTAAAAATAACAATATGCTCGTTAAAAAATTTTTTTTACTCTCTCAATTATTTAAATCGTAAATAACTATCGCTAAAAAAATATCAAATCCAATTTATGATAAAAATATACCCGTTAAAAAATTTTTTTTAGTCTCTTAATTATATAAATCAATTTTTGACATATTATCATATTTACTTGTACAAAACAAAATAAATAAATAAACTAATTTTGTTTATCGGGAAATTTGAATCTATTTGAAACTACTTAAAAAATTTATCATAATAAGTCAACGTGCTAAACAAGTCAACGTGTCTTTTAAAATGCCTCATTTCTCAACTACTACCTTTGAGCATTCCTTCATAGTTTCTGCAATCCGAATTTGGAGAGATTTGCCATTTGAAGTCACAAATTCACTTAGCCTAAATACTTTCAAAACTAGCACTTTTGAATTCTTTATGAAGCGTGAACGAGACAATGAATGAATCTAAATTTTAAACTTTAAATGAGATAATGAATTCAAATTTTCAAACCTTTGATATTCATTTACACATTTTCATTACTTGTGTATCATTTTACATCATCCTATATTATCAACCTCTATAATTTGTTCATTAAGTTTAACTCTTAAAATTTCTAACTTCTAAAAATTTTTAATAATAAAATTTTATACTTTAGATTATACTTTTCTTGAATTTTTCATAATTATATTGTAAATTAAAGAAAAACGAAAATCCCGAAATATCTAAAAATTTTTATAATTTTTATATCTCATTAGTCATACGTGTACTTTATTGTAACTATATTTGTATACTTTTGCCATCTGGCTATACTGCCTTGGCATTGAAATTAAATTAAATAAATAAATAATAAATTAACGATTGCTGAAAAGCATATGAGACATAAAAAAGGCACAAATTCAGATCAAAACTTTTCCAATGGTACTAAATTTAATTAAAAAAACTCACTCTATCATATAAATACGTCGGAGACAAAATTTTCTTTATTATTTTAATAATATAGATACTAGGTGTACGTTTGATAGGATTGATGAATGAATGAAATTTTTTACAGCGACAATCAACTTGAGTGGAAAGACAGAAAAACTTGAGTACACGATTAGTAAATTAATGGAAGTAGCCAAAGAATTACAAGAATCAAAGAAGGTATTGGCTAGAAGTGATGTTTCATCGAAGAAAAAACTTACAAAGAGGTATTAATTATTTATTTATTCCATTGGTAGGATTCTTGGTAAATGATAAGCTTGTAAATATGTGAATTTAATTTTAGGTCTAACTCTATTGATGATGACAGTGGACGAGGCTCTTCGACGTCGGCCCGCTCCAAACCGAGTCTCAAGCGTAAGAGTTTATCTTTAGAACAGACCACTGGAAAGAACGATCAATCGATTTGGGGAACTGATAGCAATGTTTCGAGCATACAGTCATTAGACTCTGAAGTTGATACAAGACATTTCAGTCTTCAAAGAGATTCTAGTGTAGACAGGTAGATATATTTTGTTTTTTTACCGATATTTTAAGAATAATGCCATTAATATAATTCTGTATTTTCACAGCCGACTGTCTGGAGGCTCAACGAAGAGCGAAATGATTCAGCGGGATAAGAAGTACAATAAAAATCTTATGAGAAAAATAACAAGTAAATTAACAAAGTCTGCGAGTGTTGACGATCCTAATAGTTCCTTTGATTTTTCTATACAGGTAATTAATAAAATAATTACTCAAAATTGTTAATATAATTTAAAAATAAATATTAGGGTGGCGCAAAAAAACCGACTATTTTTTTTTTTTTAGTCTCGAGTGAATAAATGTCAGTTTTTGATGTTTTAAGAGCCCTCTCCAAAAAACAGCTCAAGAAAAAATTTTTAAGAGGTCGCTCCAAATTTTTTTTAAATTCCAAAAATCGAAATTTTTTTTTAAATTTTTTTTTCTCGTTACGTCATAATTTTATGGACCAAAAAAATAAGTTCCTGAAAGTTTCAATTCAATATTTAAATTTTGAAAGGTCGCTCATAGATTTTTTTTTTAATTTCAGAGTCCAAAAATGCTAATCCAATTAAATAGTCACTAATAAATTAAAAAAAAATTATGAGCGACCTTTTAAAATTCACATTTTGAACTGAAACCTTCAGAAAAACCATTTATTTTGGTCTATAAAATAATGACGTAATGGGAAAAAAAAAAAATTCGATTTTTGACGTTTTTTGAAATTTAAAAAAATTTGGAGCGACCTCTAAAAAATTTTTTTTTAAGCTGTCTTTTAAAGAGAGCTCTTAAAACATCAAAAACTAACATTTTTTCACTCGAGACTCAAAAAAAAAATATAGTCGGTTTTTTTGCGCCACCCTAGTAAGTATAAAGTATAAACAATTGATTTTTTTTTAGACTTCGGGATCAGAAGCAAGTATAGATGACACTAAAGTAGAGAAGAAAAATTTAAAGAAAAAATTAAGTGCCATGTTTAAGCGCAGTTCTTCCAAAAGCAACGGGTAAGATTGTAAATTTAATTTAATATAGATTTTTATGTGCAATAAATTTATTGAGAAAATATTTATTTGCTTGTTCAAAGACTGGATAAAAAATCCAGTTCGGAGGACACGAGCAGGCCTGCTTCGAGAGCGTCCAATGTATCAAAGAGATGAAGAGTTATCGTAAATGCATATGACGAAAAACTAAACTGAATCCCGGATAATCAGCGTAGGCATTTACCTGGTTATTATTACGGATGTCTTTGTATATTATCTGCACTTTTACTTGTTACAAGTAGCCAAAAAAAGTGGTTCCGTTGTTATTATTCTTATTGTAATAATAAAAAGTCCAAAAAAAAAACTTACCGATGATTGAAAAATAATTGAAAGTGAAATGTAGACTCGGTAATTGCTGTCACACGCACATATATTTATAAATGCAGCTCTTTTAAAATCTTTGATGCATCTTTCATTACTTTCCCAGTAGTTTTATGAGAATTGTGACAAGGACATAAAACGATGAGGAATCATTGTGGTTTTATTTATAAAAATAACACATGTATCAAGTGCGTGTGAATCCAGGTGACTAACTCAACACTTTAAGGTCTACTAAAATAATTGGAATACTAAGTAAATTATTTGAATAAATAAATAAATAAAAGATGCGTTTATTATTTTCTTACCTGACATGTTTTGCCTTTTTTATGTCGTACTGTTGTAATAAACTTCCTTTCTTATTTTTATTTTATCATTATATACAAATAAATATTATAACATTTAAGTATAGGTAAATTTATTTGGACTTTAGTTGCTGCTAAAATTAAATAAATGTCATCCTTACGATTATTTTTATCTATTTATTTTGATTTATATAAATATTATCAATTTTATATATCTTAGAAGGATATTTATATGGATATTATTATTTTATTTGCCTTTTTGTAATTGTCATTCGACACGTCTGCTGATGCGCATCTAGTCTCAGTGTAATTATGGGTGAAATAATAGAAAGTTTACAATCTAAGATTGTTTTTTAAATGTTATTATTTATAGTACAGTGAAATTAACTAAGCTAAACTCTTTTTGTAAATAAATCTAATTATTTAACTATCCGTTCGTTTAAATTTGAAAGTTAATAATTTTTATTAGTATTTAAGTATCAGTTATTTGCAAATTAATAAAAATATAACAGGATACGCCGAGAGTAAATAATTTTTATTTAATTAACTTTGGAACAATAAAATTTTTTTCGATGCTTTGATTGTTAGATACTTTATCGATAAAACATATTTACGCTCGTAAAAATTTACTTTTATTAACTATTAAATTTTATTTTATTTGTGGAATTTTTTAAAAATTGCATAAACTGATGATTAAAATAATTTTAAGGCGTTGCTGTAAATTCCAGAATTTAAAAATGTCAAATAAAAAATTTATGTCTATTTCTAAAATTATATTTAAAAAAAAAGCAGAAAGTAAATTGAGATAAGAATAAGAATAATTTCTTTGTAAAAAGTAATGACAGTATGACGGCATAAAAGGTTAACGGTAAACCACATTCTCAATTTTCTAGCAATAAGATGAAAAGTTATTTAAATCTTCCCACAATATCTAACATAAGATTTATTTAAAACATAAATAAATAAATAGATAGATAATAGAAGAATGTATTGACAAGTAAAAAAGATATGTACTATTATAAAATACATAAATAATAAAAAATAGCAACCTTGCAATCACTATGTAACTACCGTGACTTGTGAATAATAAATAAAATTTTGCTTTATTAAATAATGAATTTTCTTAAATTTCATTGTACTTTCTTAAATATTGACGTTTTTAAAGATATAAGCTCATCCTGATGTTACACTC